CTGAATCACTTGAAAAAAACACGGGGGTGCTTAACTTTTTTCCAGGTGTATATATTCCATCATATGATTTTAACTCTCTCAATACAGGCTTGGTCAATTTGACCAACCATGTGACCTCTTTGTACTTGTTCAAAGTCTTTACAGGTTTGATACTACTAACTTTTAATATAGTACATCTTCACGTGATTTGGAAGTTTCTCAGTAAACATTATAAGTCTTTCACGTACAAAAAATCATATTTTTTAGTGAAGTATTTTTAATAAACTAAAAAAAAAGATTTGTCCATGAATATATCGAGTATTTGTTTTGAATAGTCAATATGCAAAGTGATTTTCATGTTAAGATTAAATATACTTTTATTCATCTCAGAAATCTCAAATTTAATTTGTGTAATCTCTAAAACATCCTAAATACATTTCAAATGTTTGTTTTCAGGAAAACTTTATATTTTATCTGTTATTTTCTCTACCCTCACTCTATACAACATTGGTAAATTTGAATGACCTGACAACTACCAAAAAAAAACTAAATAAATCTAAATTCAGCTTTTTTTTCTTTCTAGAATGACTTCAAACTGTAACATGAAACTGCAGTAGTTTATCCTATATAGCTTTTAACTCATTATAGTATACATCTATTTATGATTACATTTTATTGTTTTATTACCATTTGAACCGTGTCTAACTACTATTCATGCCATTATAAGCTGTAAATCATTTGGGTAACATGTAGCTCAAGTTACTCCATCCAATTATGTTACCCACGAGCTGTGTGTGCCTCGTGAAACATTTTTATCATTTATTTTACCTAATCTAACCTTAACTAACCTAAAGAGATCCCTATTTTTACATTTTAGTTACTTTTAAATAATAAAAAATAATGAAAAACGTAAAACAAGAAATAAAGTACTTACCTGAATCTTCTTTTTTTTTCTTGCTGCCAACTGTCGATGACACTTAACCATACTTTTTTATACTAATGGTAATAATTCACTAAATAATTTTTATTCAATTAAATAATGCACCAAAGAACGTAGACTAATAACATACAAAAAGTACAAACTTTCCCCTAACTCTCACAATTTTTCTGGCTTTCTAACTACGCAACAAGCTAGTCGTTATCTTTGGAACGAAGCTTGTAGTAACAGTAAAATTGACAATTCTATGTTCAGAAAACAACGTAACATAATACATCATTTTATAGATGAAAACCTTGGCTTTCTATTGGCTATAGATAATATAGAATTAAACATAAGAGAGAACTATTAATAAATCCTGAAAGAGAGGATATGACAGGTGGGTGTGGCAAGAAAGGTCTGATTTTCTATTTGATAGCTCTGTAGCCAAACAAAATTGAAGGCTATAAAAATTATGGTTTGTCTAAGCAACAACGATTTTATATTTAATAATTTACATTTAATTTCGTACTACTGGAGGGGTGGAGAATAAAATAGAGAAGAGAAAATGTGTCACATGTGTCACACTAGTGGAAATTAAGGATTTTTTTAAATATTGCCTTATAAAATTAAGAACTTAAAACTTATATACTATTAAAATATGGATTAGTAACTAAGATTTTATGCTATAATAATGGTTATAAACAAAAAGTAGACTAATAAAATTTTGAATGTAAGTCATTAAAACCTCACGACATATGCAGTAAAGGATGCCCATCGTGATAGGGGTAAATGCTTGCTTAAACTTCAAACTTTCCCAAGAAAACACCAGTGGCTATTGAAGTATGACACACCATAGAACAATTTGAAGTACACCATTAAAGCTGAAACTGAAAGTCTCACAGTATAAAACACAGAAAACTCTTAATGTTTGTTCTCACCTTCATCTGCCCTGTACCAGATATACACCGAACTAAGTGACTCAAAATAGCTTTCACACGAGAAATCTTTCCAAAGCCCAAAAGTTCCATTAGTTGTTTAGGGTGGTATTGAGGCAAAACTGGACAGGCTAATCGGCTAGCCTCAAATAATCCAAAGTAAGGTAGAGGACTGTCATTGAAGATATTGTCACTAAAACAAAAACAAATTCTACCAATAACTCTTCTCTCTTTGTAAATAATTAATATATTTTTTATATATATAATACCAATAGTCTGTTAGGACACTCAATTACTATTGAAATTGCTCTTATTTTATTTAGTACATTTTAATATTTTCTCTATATATTTTCTCAGACTTAGCAATGAATTTTTTTATTGTCCACATTTTTATGCCAAAACGTTTTCTCACTAATATGTCTACTTAGCACATGAAGGTAGCAATACTCAAAATGTGTTTAAAGGCAAAATAACTTAAGAAATAGCCATATTATTTGTCCTATGTATATGTTTTACATATAAGTAAACTAACTAAATGCTTGTATTTCCTTCAGATATTACAAGTAATAAAAAAACAAAAGTAAGAGCTGGGTCCCTAACCTGTTCAGTTCAAGCCATTTTAGCTAAAATTGACCCACATGGTCTAGCCAGATAAACCAACTAGCACTAGTGTCGCAAAACTGAATCATACTGCAATATTACTGCTATATACAAACCCAGTTAAAAGTTGAAAAATAACTTATTTTACTGACTAGAAAACTAAGAACTTTCTGGATCCATGGGGTTCAAATTATTTTAATTATTAGTCATTTTTTGAGTTTTCTCTAAAGAGGAAACTCACAAGAGAAAAAACTAATTTTGTCTCTAACAAACAGCCGAGTGCTCAAAAAATGATTTAACTCTGTCATCACAAGAAAACAAACAGGTGTCACTAAAAGTTAGATTTGACGAAGAAAGCAGAAAGTTCCAATGGGCTAAAAGAAGAAAGTAATCAGGTTATTTTTATCAACCTTTAGGTACGAGTAGGTCAAAGTGCAAATGTCACAAACTTTTAAAAGGGTTACATTCTAAACTTAATTAATCTACTTTATTATCATTGTATACAAATAGGTTTAATGAAACAAATTTCAATATTATACAAGTTTTAAGTTCTTAATTTTATAAGGAAATACTTAACAAATACTCAATCTTTTCTGGCATGAGAATTGTGACATTTGTTCTCTATGTCTTCCTTCTTCTGTAATATATTTATTACCCTCTGAGAAGTTTGGAAGTTAATATAAATTACTTATTATAATACAGATATTACAAAAATATCAGACCCACTTGCCAAGTTCACCTGTCACATCCTCTCTTTCACAAATTGCCAATAGTTCTCTCTAACAAATGTCACAATTCTCATACTAAAGGTGACTGAGGAATTTTTTAAATATTTCTTTATAAACTTAAGAACTTAAAACTTATATAATATTAAAATTTGATTTATTAACTACATTTTGATATCAGGTTTACTTGCATACAATGATAGTAAAGTAGTTAAATTAAATTTTGAATATAACTCTAAAAATCTTGACATGTGCACTTTAATCTACCTATGCAAGTATTTAACTTTAATACATTCACAATATCAAATATGGCTGAGACAAGGTATACTGTCATTAGTTTGTAAGTAAGTCTTATGTACAACCTAAGAAATATGTCAACTACTTTTTACTTTACTTAAAAAAAACAAATATATAATAATTAATCTTAAACCATTAAGTTTAGAAGTTCTTAAACATTTTAACCAGATAAAACGTTTTGAGACCTGTAACAACCAATGTTGTGAGGAATTTATTTCTTTGAAGAGAAGATGTACACTAAAGATATGAATAAAAAACTAAAAAAATACAATACTTAGTAGTTATAATTTTTGCTTGTGCTTCACGTTTCTTTTTGGAATCAATTCCAATTGTTAAGACATTTGATGAAATGTTTCTTGGTAAACCAGAGGGAGAAGTAGAGGAAAAAGGAAGCTGGGAGGTTTCTTGTGCCCGACTCAATAACTCTTCTTCCACCAGATTTCGACTTCCTACTACCACTTCTGTGTCCTTGTGCATGTCTTTACCTTGTTCTAAGTCATCCAAACCTGTTAACAATACAAAACAATTTTATTTTCCTTTCCCAAGAGATACAAAATGGCATACAAACAATGTAACCACGAAACCCAACTAGTATAGCATAACAGAAGCAAATGAAAAATTTACCCGAAATTAAATTTAAACAATTACGATATTTGCTTTTTTTAAAGCATTACAAGCAGAATTAGACTAGTTGTTGGGTGAAATAAAGGATGTATTTATTCATTCTTAACCAATGGGGTGTCACTGATATCCCTCAATTTTTTCTTTCTTACAGTGGAAATACTTAACGAACACATTACATGAAACTCAAACTTTACAAAACAGTAGTTCATTTTATGTTTAGAAATCCATACCATTTGATTCAGTTTTGCTATTATTTTTAATATAATGAAATTCCCAAAATTTTGTTGTAAGATATTTTTTCTCAGTAAAATATTAAAATACTTCATCTTTTCTTAGAATTCTTTTTATTTGTTGATCATAAAATTACATTTTATATATTCAATCAATTTTTAACTCAATTGATTTTTATTAACATATTTCTTTTGATATTTTATTTTGCTGATTACAGTATTAACTACTTCTGGTTATAAACCATAAACAAAACCAGATAAGGTGACAGATTTATCAGTGACCTAGGACCTGACCTTTCAGAATAGTATCAGTTCAGCATAGGTAGTAATATTTTTGCTATCAATATTCTTAGTCTAAATCAATTTATATTTAGTAGATATACGTTATTTTCAATAAATCATATGTTCTTTTCTTTTCTTTTATGTAAACTGTTTGAAAATGATAAGTTCAACAATAGTATTTAATGTATAAAGATTTCAGTCACCAGCATAGTTTGTCATCACTACCATATTCTCTAAACCTAATAAGGCTTACCAAAGTCTTGTCATAGAAGAAAACTGTGATAGCTTCCAAACAAATATAATTTACACAAAAGTAACTTTAAAAATGAAAATAAGGTTTAAAGAAATAAAAAAAATTCCCTGATCTGTGATTTGTTTTTAATTCTTCCAAACTTTACTCTGAATTCTGTTGTTTTTTATTGAAGGAGATACCTCTAATTGCTTTCTTATAAATTACTTCTCATACCATTTTATTAACTTTACATTGACATAAATAGTTTACAAAGTTTCTCACTCTTTTACAACTTCACAGCATGAGATGTGAACAGTCATTTAACAATAATTCTTGAGCAAAGAAGGAAAATTATAACGGAAACAAGACTTGGTTGTTTGTTTGTGGCAAAGCTATGAAGGCTATTTGCTGCCATCCATAATTATGAACTGTCAATCACAGGGAACAGCAAATGGCCAACAGCACCCACTGCCAACTTTTGGAATACTCTTGAAATGCTCCTGAAGAAGAAAGGTCCACTTTTCAAAAGTGCACGGGTCATAAGGTTTTTATCATTTTATATAAACAAATTGTGGGATTGACCATCATATAATAATGCCCCCACAGCTGAAAGATCAAGCATGATTTATACCACGTGTTAGGGTTTTTTGCATGGGAGAGCCGGAATCTCTACAGTAGGTGTCTGACTTGTTGGCGATCAATGTCAACAATAAATGGACAGCCCACAATCCACTTGTTTTAAAATTATATATTCAAAACAAGTCAAATGTATGTACAAAAATTCGTTTCACTACTGGTTATCAAGGTGGTATCTAAAACTTTAAATAATTCTCTTTATTGTCAAAAGTCCACACAGGCTAATTCAGTTACTTCAGAACTCAACTGACTAGGTGAATTATTTTTCTCTACTCAGTTTCTTACTGCACAATCTACAATAGATTCATTTACATTACCCTCTGAGTTACCACAGTTGTTTCCAGAACCTTAAATAATTGTCTCCTTTCCATCAATGTCCACATAGGCAGGTTCAATTACTTTAGAACACCCTTTGACAAGTTATTCTCCTTTATCTCTGTTATTACAATACCACTGTAAAACTGACTTTAAATATTACCTGTTACAGCTAAACTGACAATCATGCACTCTAAATTCACTTTCACTAACTTAACATTTTCAGACTTAAATGTCTAGCTCTTTGGTAGTAACAATATTAAATATAATGAGAAAAATTGAGATTCTTTGCAAAAGATGACATCAACAAAAGCCTGCAACAATTAAACCATATACACAACGTATGACTCTTACAGTCATGTAACAAAATTTGGCATAACTATTGCCTTTAAAATAATTAACTTTTAACACTCTTGTTATGAAAACTAAATAATCATTAAATATTAGATCACTAAATATACTAAATAATAACTCTTAAACTGAACAGTCTCATGTATCCAACACCACATTTCAATCCCATGATCTACAGGTTGCAAATCTGACCAACTAGAGTACTGCAAAATATACAACAATTTGATATTAAAAATAAAACTCAACCAAACTCCCCATCTTTAACATTAATATCAAGCATTAACAATTGAAAGCATTACTGTTTTTGCACTGATGCCACTGTGTGTAGATATGCATCTCACTGTCCATTCCAACCACAAGAATTCCATCTCGCACCCAAGACAGCTGCATAGGAAGAGGAGGAAGACCATCTACAGTAGTTAAATGGGTGGTCCTCAATCTCATCCATCTAACTTCTTCATTGTGGTGTGGTATCATTGACATGGATGACGCCTGCTTCAGTAATGCAGGCCTGCCACCTGCATTGAACGTATTCATGGCCTCAGCAGTTGCCTCTGCAATCTCGGTAGACACAGGGGTGAACACCAAAATCTGGTGGCAGATCATACTTAAGCATATAATTTAAATTATTGCCATTTACTTCAAAGTTTTGTTAATAATTATTTTTTTCTCATAATAATTGGTATAATTATTCATATTCTTAATAATTCTTATAAATATCCAGAACCTTAATACATACCAGTATTTTGCCAAATTCCAATTGAGTTTTTGTTATATTTGTAACAAATATAAAACATTTAATAATATCTTAAAATCAAAGTGACATATATAGATATATACACATACCTTCACATTTTTACATATAGTTAAAACACACAACATAAAGATGCCCACATTATTTTTTCTTATACCATTCACATCATTGTGCATTAAAGTATATAATTTATTACTGACACTATGATTATTTTAAAGTTTAAACAAGTTTATAATTTCGGTCAAATTATATCATTTTTCTCATACTTGTATTAAAAAATAGCTATAAAAAATAATGTACTTACTACAGAGAGTTAGGAGCAAAGTATACTAATATTTTCATGTTATTACACTTGTAAATATCAGTAAATAACAGTTACAAAAGTTTAGATATTACGATATAATATACGATTTACATAAAAGACTAAGCTTAAGTTAGTTTTTTTATTTACTTTTGAGCCCACTCCTACTGTGAGGACATGAGAACCATCTTCAGTGGAAACCCAGTCTAGGTCAACAAGAGACTTCTGGGTAAGCAGTGACTGGTTTCCTTGCTCTGAAATAGTGCGTCGAAGCGTATGAAGTGTAGCATAGCTAGGAACAGATAAAAGCCTCTGAAGATTGGGTGCATGTTCACTTGCTATATCATCACTCCCAAGCTTCTGCACAAATGTGTTAACTGTACGACGATTTCGTACACTTGCACTATATAAGGACCCAAGATCTAGATCTGCAATGCCATCTGGCTGAGGTAGCCCAATGTTTTTTAGATGGATTGTGTCCTCAAGCACCCACTCTGAGCCTCCAGTTGATTCACACTCAAATATGGCTACACTTATGTTTACATATCTTCCATGAGGGTTTCCTGAAGAAGGTCTTGTGAAGGATTTTCCATGTTTGTATGCACAAGCCATACGACCACTGTATGCACAATTTACAGTCAATGGATCTCCTATATAACAAGAAGATCCGGATCAGTGTTATAAAACTTCTTACTCCTGTTTCACATGTCATTTTAATGGAAACTTCAATATTATCAAACAAAAAAGTTTGAAATCTCTATTAATGAAGCTAACTTAATAGTTGCAAACTGATCAAAATGCTAAAAAGGTGTAACAAGCTACTTTTTCTTACTTGTAGATCATATATACGTATAATCATCACATTAGGTCTAACACAAGAAGCACGGTTTTAATGTTATCACTTAATTTTATTTAACAGTCATTGTCAGGTATTATTATCAGTTGTATTTATACATTATTCCAAACAACCACAGTTACTCAACAAAGAGAACTAAAATCATAGAGAACTTTATATTTCTGATTGGATATACTATCAAGTGACAAAAAACTCCGATATAAAAAACACCCTTATAATAGGCAAGACACAAAGAGTTATACATAAGTGAGATTTCATATTACACTGATTTTAAAATGTACAAATAAAAAGTAATTTAAATTACATATCTATATAAACACTTTTCAACATTTACTACACTTTATTTACATATTTGTACAAATAACAGTAGAAATTAAAATAATGACTGAAAAACTTTTATTTTCAAGATTGTTAACTGTTGGTGATAGGTATTGTACCTGGAACCTGGATGGCACTTGATGTTTTATTCAACATCATTTCCCATTCTAACCAGGTGTACTTGAATGGTTCTGCTAAATCTCCAGTTTCTTTAGCTTCACATCTCCAAAATCTACCCACAGAAATTTAATAAACAAAAATTATTAAAAGCACACAGCACCACACAAAATGAACAGATATATTATTTACAACCATGGAAGCCCCATTTTGTGAGCATCTTTGTTTTTCAAAGCAACTTTATTATCATATGTATCATATCTTTGTTTGATTTGCTTATTACAAAAAATTATAAAAGAGGCATTCACTTTAGAGAGAAAAATGGCAAATTCAATTGTATGAGGAAAAGGAGAACAGCTTTATAATAAATATATAAAAAAATGATGGTTTTTGTCTTCCCCAATCTGAAAACTTACTAATCCTTATTTTATTATATTAATCATTTTCATTAACAACATGGTAACAGGGATAAAACTAATCATTACCTCAATTTTGAGGCACATCTTTTCGAAGTTGAAGAATTGAAAGCAATTTCTCTCCATGTAGAAACATTAAAACACTAGACAAATCAGACAAATTTATAAGAAATGTTTTTTTGTCATTTCAAACCAAATATAATAGAAAATATGGAGAAAAAAGCATAAACACCTACTTAAATAGAGTGAATTATGGTAAAAAACATTTATTTGTCATCTGAACAGTTGGTGCAATTTCACAGTGTGAGAACAAAAGAAACTGAAACAGTATACAGAAATTTACACTTGTGGTACATGGCACAAAAACAAAGGGTAATTGGAAATTATAAAACCTTAACTATGATACTGCAATGAAATAATGTTGGTCACCCTAACTTTTATCCAAACTAGGCATCTGATGGTCTATCATGTGGTCCAAAATACAAATGACTTTATATTTTTAGTAGTTCTTAATGTTTCACTTCAGTAAGAAATATGTTCATCACGAACTGATGTTGCATGCTTCAATTTCATCTTTAAGGTATCTTTAACATCTTGTCACCTTATATGAGCACCCCAGTGAGTAATCAAACCACCCTCTTTGCAGCTGCAACTTAGGATTCACATAGCTCTCATCTCCTTCTCTTTGTGTTGTGGATGTAGGTTTACCTTGTTTAGGTGTTTAAACATTTGTACCATTGGTTTGGAAGCAGTTCTGGATTCTGCTAGCAACACTTTAGGACATTTGTAGATAATTTGCAATAGCCATCTGTGACTGGCTGGTTTCCATTTGTCCATAGATAACTTTTGTTTGTTATTAAGCAAAAAAACTACACAATGGGATATCTGTGCTTTGCCTATCTTCAGTATCGAAATTCAATTTTTTTGTGTTAGATGCTCTCAGACTTACTGCTGGGCCAAAGGAGACTTACATGAGTGAAACATCCAAATGTATTTTTTTGAGGTCAAGCCATGATACATGGATAAGTTGTAGTCCTTTAAACTCTGCAACTCACTTCAAAATAGCAATCAGGAACAAATTGTGTGATACTACTATATAGAGAAGGACCATTCTTCTGCATTTCTGATCACAGAGTTGTTTATCAGGTGCCTGAATTACATTTTAGTGAAGTGATAGCAGTGATTAACATTACTTTATAGTAGTGGTTTTGCCTTCAGAAGTACACAGCTTTTACAGAAAAACTATGAATTTTAAAGAGTTAGGCAAATAAAAAACAACTTACAAAAGAAGTTCCATATAAAATTAAAGCTGCAATTATTGTAATTCAACATATTTTATTATCTTTGAAAAAAAAACTTCAAATAAACAGCATTAAAATTATCACTACTAGCTCTTAAAGTCTGATACAAGTAATCTGTACTCTTAAGTAAAGTATCCTTTTAACCCTTTCACTGCAGGCAGGTTAAAGAGTTCATGTCATGACCTTTTACAGTTATTTTCAAAATTTTATCAAATAGCTTTACTAGTACTTAAGTCAATGGAATTGACATCAAAACCCAATTTCTTATTAAAATCTTAATATTATATATATATTTCAATTTCTTAATTTAAAAGAAAATATATAGAATAAAAATTATAAATATCAATTTCTGTTTTTCACAAAGTACCTCCTATTGTCTTGTTGTTCAGTTTATATTTTACTATGCCTACCATAAGACGTGCACAGTGGTTCATGAATTAGAAACTCGAACTTGAGATATAGGCAACCTACAATATAAAATAAGAACCTCCCAACTCCTTGATTTGCCGAGATCTCAATATATTTAGCCAATCTAGTAGAGTGGTTCCTCCCACTACTCCATTCGTTTGAAACCTCTTGTCTAGTCCTAACAGTCATTTGTAAATAGCTTGAAGGAGAAAGTCATAATTTCGCTAAAATTTCTGAAGTGTGTTGCTCTGAACAGATATGAAT